CAAACTAACGTGTCTTGGTAAGATAATTCCTATAGATGAGCAGGTCAGAAAGGTCTTAAGAATTCTTCCAGACAATGACAGATGGAGAGCAAAGGTTGCAGCTGTGCAGGAATCAAAAGACTTCACCAAGTTCAATCTAGAACAGCTCGCGGGTTCCCTCATTACCCACGAGATCCAGTTGAACAACCGGACTCAGGAGACTTCAAAAGTCAAGGGCTAGCACTAAAAGCTAATGAAGAATCCGAAGAGAAGTCTGACATTGATGAAGAAGAAGCTGCAATGTTGGTGAGAAGGCTGAAAAAATTCTACCGTAACAACAAGTTTTTAGACAAGAAGAAAGGATACAGTAAAAGAAATCAGGAATCCAAAGCCAAGTCTTCTTGTCACAAATGTGGAAGCACCAACCACTTCATCAAAGAGTGTCCATAATGGGAATCTGAGAAAGGCAAGGGAAAAGAAGCTGATCTAAACAGAAACTCTAAGCCTAACTTTTCTAAAACAAATTTCAGGATAGCAATGATTTCCACGTGGGGAGAATCAAGTTCCGAAGAAGAGGAACAGGAACACACAGACGATGAAGTAGCCAATCTCTGTCTAATGGAAAAGTATGATGATGAGGTAGTCATTCAACCTAGTTATTTGAAATCTCTCTCAAAGGATAAATTAATCTCTTTATTGTTAGAAACCTTAGATGAATATAAAGAATTATGTGCAAAACTAAGGCAAGCCGAAAAGACAACTGGAATTTGTAGAGATCATGTTAAGTATCTGAATAGCTTAAGAAATGATGTTCAAGGCAGATTCTTTGAATTGTTAGATAAAAATATTATGCTAAAAGAATCCCTTGAAAGAGTCAAGAGTGAGAATATCATGCTGAATATTGAATTGACTCAATATAAAATGCTGTGTACTAACATTGATTCTTGCAGGTCTACTGAAGTTCCTTTAATCATGTTTAATAATGAACTAGAGCATGTTAAGAAAAATATAAAGGATACTAATGATAAAAATGAGAAACTAGAAAAGGACCTAGAAATTGCAAGAAAAAGTAAAAATACAGCAAGCACGGGTGTTCCCAAGTGGGTAAAGGAAGCTCAGACAAAAAGGAGGAAGAAATTTCTGAGGGGGAATCTAGCTCAGAAAGTGAGAGTCTTGACCTCCCTTATACAGGGGGACTCAGGAGGAGTAAGAGAAAAATTGTCAAACCTGCTACTTCTACTCTTAAGCCTGTGATTATTGAAGACATTAGTTCTTCAGATCACTCTGACCCTGATTTTACCCCTACACAAGTTCCTTTTGCTTCCGAGCCATCTTCTGTTCATGACTCCCCCCCAAAACAAGCTCAAACCTCTTCCACTCCTGTTTCACCTCCAAAACAGACTTCTCCCTCTCCCTCCCCAGCTTTTCCTACATCACAGCCTACAGGCTTTGCTGCCTTCTCTGGAACAAATGCTTCTGCTTTTGATATTCAACAGGTGAAAGCAGAAATGGAGCAGCTGATAAAGATGGTGTGCACAAAGCTGGAGGACATGGCAAAGCAGCTGGCTTCTCTTCAATGCCAAGTGCAGGCTGTGGCAGATGCTCAGGCGACCAGTTTTACTTGGATGGAGAACAAAGTTGATGCTGCTGAGAAGAACATATTGCACAGCACTCAGGAGATATTGGAGACGATTAACAGGGTGGCTTTTGAAGAAGTGGAGGAAGCTTCTAATGACCCCATAACCCCAGCTGATGAACCTACCTATTCCCCATAATTGCAATTTCGAACTTGTCACTTTTAATTTCTTTTGCTTTTGCTTGTTTCATTTGGATTTCAGTTTGTAATTCTTAACTCTTGCTACTCTTTCCTGCTTTTGATTTTCGTCTATGGGAACTTGGCTCGTATTTTTCATATGATTGTGTGTGTTTGTTGATAATTTAGTACCTAACTTATTTTTTCCTTGCATTATTTGAGCTCACTATTCCCTACGTAGTCTAGTGGGAGTATAGCAAAATGTTTTTTTCAATCTTTTGATAATGCCAAAAGGGGGAAAAGACAAACTTCATGGCGGCTAAGGTGTTTACCAAGGAACTCACACATCGAAGGTACAAACTTTTGCTAAGTTCAGTTAACTCAATAAAGTACTAGTATCTAAGTTTTAAGTCTTTGTTAATTTTTCTTTTGCTCAGTCTTTTTAAAATAAATACTTTTTAGTATATTTCTAAGTCCTTTAATTACTCTTATTTTGTTTTCATGTCTCGCTTTAAATTTTTGTTGCATGCCTGGATGATTTTATTTACCTAAGTTTGTCAATGTTTGTCATCATCAAAAAGGGGGAATTTGTTGAGCCTTTTGGTTTTGATGGACAAATTGACAAACTCGACTAATGAATGTTTTGAGTCTTTGGTGAATAAAGGGTTCAAGCAAAGTTCGTTCCGGAGTAGGAACTTGGATGCGGAGTAGCATTCTCTAAAAAGCCTCATGCAAATCTCACGTTCTAGTTTTAATTGTGAGCACTCAATAATATAAAGTCGGAAAGGAACTCAATGACTTATGTTATTAAAAAGACTACTGGAATAAAAGTTAGTTTTAAAAGATAATTTCTTAAAGAAAAGATAATTTATAAAAGTTTTATTTAGTCATCTATTTTCGAATAAAGATAATTATCGAAGATAATTATCTAGTTGTTTTAATATAAATAATTAATTTATCTTTTCAAATAAAATCTTTTTAAACAAACTTTTGATAATCTTTTTAAACAAACTTTTGATAAAGTTAGCAAGCAGTTTTCTGTGAGAAAATCTCTGATTATACGGCTAATGTTTATCAAGTTGTTGAGATAGTGGATTAGTGAGATAAGGCTAGGAAACCTCCTTCATGATCACCATCTGTCAAGATAAATCCACAAGTTGTTAGTGGGGTGTTGGCATGTGGACGTGATTATAGTGGAGGTTAATGACTAAGCCTTCTCTATAAATACTCATGCAAACTATCTCAGCAAAATATAACTCTTGAGCATAAATATTCCAGTAGCCATCTAATAACATAAAGAGAGTTATTATCCTTCTTATATTCTTGAGTGCAATAGGTATTTGTAATTACATATTGTATTCAAGTACTTTGGGGTTGGGATTGTGAGTTTGTGTAAGGTGAGGTCAAGGAAGCTTCGCTGCTGAAGTCTTCTGTGAGAGTTGGGAACAAGTTCCTAATTTGTGGAACTTGTTAACGGGTTTGAATCTTCACTTGTAAAGAGTTTGATTACATAGTGGAAATTTAGAAAAGCCTATATCTACTCTCGTCATTATTTCATTTAGTTAAATTCCGCAAAAGTTTTTAGATTTCACCTCAAATACAATTCACCCCCCCTCTTGTATTAGCCAGTTAGACTTTCAGTATCAAACAACAACAACATTAAAATCAGTTTTAAAAATCGTTCGCCTAGATTTGACCAATTAGTATATGATACTCCTGGAGTACCTATTGTACTCCAGGCTCAACCTAAATTAATGGGCTAAAACCCAACTAAAAGAAGCGCATGCGAAATTTTATTTTACGAAATAACAAATAAAGTAAATAAAATAACTTAAATTGTATATAAGAAAGATAGACTCAAAATGTCAGAATCAAACCATTTTATTTATCTCTCCACTCACTTTTCTTTTTTCTCTCTCAGTTTGAAATTACAGTTTCTCCAATTGAAATGGAGTGAAAAATCTTCAATTGCATGTCTGCAAAATATTGAAGACAAAATTCCTACTCAAGCAAGCCCAAAACTAACTTAAATTAATACCTGAAGTAAGTTTTTAAATAATTGTAAATTATTTTGCTAATTAGCTTTGAATTTGTGATAATTTTTGTATTTTTAAAAATTTAATATGCAATTAATACATGCAGATATGATGTAGTAGATGAAAATGAAAAAGGAGATAAAAAATTTCGCTTCTACATTTTGATTTTTGGCTACTGTTATCTCAAGATAATATTACTGTTCTTTAGATCTTATGTTATTTTGTGTTTAATTTGTGTTATTTTAGTCTTTGAAAGTAGTGGTGGGGAATGTTATTTTGTAATTTAAATGAAATTTTTTACTTAAAATCTAATGTTATTTTGCTTCTTAGGCTTCTGTTATTCAATTGCGTTCTTGTGTTATTGTGTTAAAACCATGTGTTATTTTACAGTCACCATATGTTATTTTGATAAATATAATTATGTTACTAAATTTTTCGTGCCTACAATTGTGTTACTTTGTATATAATCTTATGTTATTCTTTCAATATTTTTATGTTATTCTGTACATTTAGTTTTATTCTACTGCTTTTGTTTGATTGTCTTCTTCGCACTTATCTCCTTGTTTAATCTGCCATCATTAATGGCATTCCAATATGCTTTTTGAGTTTCTCTCTCCTTTTTTTTCCCCTTTCCCCATCTTAATTGACTGATTTAGGGTATTATAATCCTTAATTTATATCAAATTTTCTCTCTTCTTTTCTCGTTTGGGGATATCTTTTTTTTTTTTAACAATTGTGAAGTTTTAATCCCGGAGTACCGTGAGCATTGTACTCCGGGAGTACAATAGAAATTGCGAGATTTGACGAACCACCAAGGCTGAAACGCCTAGTTCGTTCAAACAACCGTATGGTTGTTCGAAATTTCTAGGCGTTTCATCTCAACCGCCCAGAAATTTCGAACAACCATATGGTCGTTCGAAAGATCTTGGCGTTTGAGCCTAGATCGATCGAAAATTTTGGGCGTTTGAACCGATTGAAAATAATAATAAAAACAAAAAAAACTTCGTCTCCGGCGATCACCTTCCTCGTCGTTTCCGCGGCTGATTGTGTAGATAAAAAAAACTTGAGGTACAAGGACGTGGTGGTGGGTGGTTAAAAGAGGAAGTGGTGGTGGTGGGTGGTAAAAGGATGTGATGGTAGTGGTTTAGAGAGAGAAGAGAGAGTGAGGGTTTGTGGGGATAAATTGTGTTTGGGGGAGTAACTTCTTTTTTTTATGTAAGGGTCTCAAATACCTACCCGCACAGCTTTAACTGCAAATCAGTAGTTAAACCACTCTCAAACTTCCTAGCTTTTGCTTTCTCCGTAGAGACAGACCCTTCAGCAAAACGGGACAATTCAATAAACTTGGTGTAGTATTCCGTAACTGACATCCTGTCCATCCTAAGGTTTGAGAATTCCTCAGCTTTCTGCTTCTGCAAAAAGCTAGGATAAAACTTGTCTCTCACTTTCTCTTGGAATTTGGTCCAGATGAAGTTGAACCCAGGTAGTGCTCTAATGGTAGTCTCGTTTTGTTGCCACCAAAGGTCAGCTTCACCCCTCAGGTAATAAGTAGCACAACTCACTTTTGAGTTTTCAGGGCATCCCACAGCTCCAAATAGTTTCTCAAATTCCCTCAACCAGTTTTCCAATATAATAGGGTAAGGCTCGCCTTGATATGTTGGTGGCTTACTTTGTGACACCTTATTAAAGAGCACTCCTTGAGCATCCCCATTACCAGTTGAGTTTCTTGCCAATTGTTGGGCAACTGCTGCCAATTGCCTTACTACTTCATTCAAATCGTTTCCACCACTACCAGAACTTCTTCCCCCTGCCATTTTGCTTCTCCTGAATTGAGGACAAGGATTTATATTAGAAATGGCTAGGTTTAGCTCTCAAGACATACACTCATCTATTACTTAACGACCTTTAAACATTCACAGTAAAATTTGAAGCTAACAATTTGGGATAGCGAGAGCTAAGAATTCCCTTAATTTGTAGCTTTATCACTCAATTATTGATTGTAACCAACCATACATTTAATAAAGCATCAAATAGATAAAAAAAAAAATAATTCCCATAGACGCCCATAGCTTAGAAATGTTCGTTGGAATCAAGTTGCTTAAAAGTTGATTATTGGAATAGTGATGTGAAATGGGAGATTTGGAAAACAAATGAATTTATTTAAAAAAAAATTTAACAAGGAAATTGAAGGGAATATTTTCAAGCCTTTAAATCCCACTAGATTGAACCCCACTGTGATCATACACTAAAGTACGGTGGCGTCCAAAAGGGAAGAAGATAGAGCAAAAGAGTCGCCAACAAGTTTTTAAGGAACTTGTAAACCGTTCACGAGGTGAAGGTTACACCCCTTAACGATCCAAGAGATCGTCAACTCCATAAGGTCATGAACCAAATAAGGGTCCGGGGATGATGGTACAAATCCAACCTAAAAGAGATTGAACCTGCCCTAATAATAGACCTCTACTTTATTCTGCTCGTATTCATGTGCGCTTTCTGACTAACATGCAATCAATAGATTAACCCTAAACCTGTTTAATCTATGTTGGTTGAATTTTAATGCACAAATAAACTATTATTGGTGATCACTTGAATTATAATCACAATTAAGCTAACAAGATTATTAATTATTTTATTAAGCATGATTGCAAATACAAATTCCCTTTAACATGCAATAAAAGGTGATCAAGCAACAACAATATAAAATAATATGCATATCAAGCAACATAATAAATAATCAATATCATTAATAATAATCATATCAATCATAATCATAAATATTAGGAAGAGTATAGGAAACATCATACTTTTAATCATACTTAATATTAAAAATACCCTAGACATGATACTAGGAATCAAAATAACAATCTAAGCATGATATCTACATCATGAAATCAATTAAACCATCAAAGCACTTACTTGGATGCCTCGTATCTCTTTCTAATAACAAAATACACACGTTAGTAACTTCAAGGAAAATAATAATCAAAACAATTAAATTAAATAATTGAAAGAGAGATTTGGGACCAAACCCTCAGAAATTAAACCTTTCACGTCTAGGGCGAAGGCAACTTCGAATATGGCTAGGTGTTTCAAGATCTTGTGAATGCAGAATTTTGTATGAAAAAGTAAAGTTTAGAAAAGAATGCTAAAAGATTAATGTTATTGAGAATTGATGAAAGAAAGATGATGAATGAAGAGAATTGAAGAATTAGATGAATGATAATTGGTGAATGATGAAGACTTAAGAATAAGGAGAATTGGTGAATGTTGGTGATTGTTGATGATTGAAACCAGAGTTTTTGATACGATATTTATAGAGAAAATCATCCAAAAAAGATAATTTATCAAAACAGAGTCTGAAGATCGCAAAACCACCTTGGCGCCAGCCCTGGCTCATTGGCGCCAGGACCAGTGGCTAGCGCCAGGCGCCAATGGCTGGCGTCTGGCGCCAATCCTGGTTCCAGGCGCCAAGGCCTGGGGTTGGACGCCAAACCGGCTTTTAACGCGTTTTCGAAATTCTGATAAAATTCCCGTACTGGAAGATAAAATAATATAATTTCAGTCGAAAATGCTATTTGATCTAATTAAAACTCTAAAGAATCCTAATTGAATTAAGAATGATAAGAACCTTCTAGAATGTTCTAGAAGACCAAAACCATTCCTAATTACATTAGGAATGATAAATCATATTAGGCCCTCCCCTAGATCATTGGGCCGTACTTAAAACTCAAACCGGGCCCAGTTTAGTAAATTGGACATAACTTCCTCAATATTCATCGGAATTGGGCTTATAATATATCGTTGGAAAGGTCTTTGCAAGCCCCATCCAACTACACCACTATTAGACCCATATCATGGACCAACCAAACTGGATTGGCTGTTTTCTTAAAATAAAGTTTTCAAAAACAGGGAGAAGAGAAAAGAAAAGAAATAAAACTTTCCGCAACACTAGACCTTTCCACACTTTTGTTTCATTCGATTATGATTCGACGTGAAAGGTACTCATCACTGGATTTGGTTTTGGGGAGACACAAATGGGTGTCTACAGAAGCCCCCACTTTGACTGAGTTTGGAGAAACGCAAGTTTCGAAAAACGAAAGTCAAAGTATCGATAGGGACGGAGAATGATTTAGAACGTTCTGCGATCCTAAATCAATCTTGTAACACCGATACCTGCAAAAAAATGTTAGTTAAACAGATAAAAGAGTTAAGAAATGTGTATCTTGCACCGTCGAGCACACGCTTCTGAAAGTAACTGATTTGCTGCTTTACTGTTTTGATGACCTCCTGCAAGCTAGAGAATGCCATCCCGCTTGAAAACCGCTACGCCTTGTAACTGTCTCCAAATTAGAAGATTGCTTCTCCTGAAGCTACCTTCTCCGCTGTGATAATATTCTACGTCCAAGGGAATACCATCGAAGATTGCTTCTCTTGAAACAATCCTCAGTTGTTTGTGACAACTCTCCACAATCTAGGGAACGCCATCTTGCTGTTTGTTTTGACGATCTTCCGCAATCTAGGGAACGTCGTCGATCAATGTTGCTACATCTTGAGCCTTTTCTTGAATCATAGTGACAACCTTTCCAATCATAGCAAAAGTCGTCGAAGACTGCCCATCTCGTGCTATCTTCTCAAATCTTTGGTGACAACCTCCACAATCTTAGCGAATGCCGTCGAAGACTGCCCATCTCAAGCTATCTTCTCAAATCTTTGGTGACAACCTCCACAATCTTAGCGAATGCCGTCGAAGATCGCCCATCTCGTGCTATCTTCTCAAATCTTTGTTGACAACTTCCACAATCTTAGCGAACGCTGTCGAAGACCGCCCATCTTGTGCTATCTTCTCAAATCTTTGGTGACAACTTCCACAATGTTAGCAAATGCTGTCGAAGACCGCCCATCTCGTGCTATCTTCTCAAATCTTTGCTGACAACTTCCACAATCTTAGCGAACGCTGTCGAAAATAACTTTACTTGAAGTCATCCTCAATTGTTGCGATAATTTTCCCAAAGGAAAAATACCGAAGACCCACGCCTGTCGTTTTTTAAAAGTTCACCTGAACTTTGCTTTTGCTATGCCTGTACGTCAGCGCTTTCGTTGCTCTTAAACCTGTATGTCGGTGTTTTTTCTGCTTTTGAGCCAATGCCTAGGCGCTTTAAGCTAAGTGAGACGATCTTTCATCAAGTCGATCACTTATTGCAATTGTAATCAAACTGACTACTTAATCATGTCAAATCGCTTAGAGGGGCTAACTGGCGTACCAAGGAACCCAAAAAATATATTGCAGAAGGCTAGCACAACCCCAACAGGTGGTTGGCTGCTTTATCGTCGCTGAAAATCAATCAACGCCAAACATATGGAATTAGCGCCAGGCGCTGGAATTGGCGTTTGGCGCCAAGCACAGAAAGTGACGCTAATGCCTAGGGACTGGCTCCAGCACGGATTCTCCTTTAAATTCAATTTTCCGTTTTATTTCTTGCTCTGTTCGTCACGAACGCTGCGATAGGGTCTTCCCTGTTCTGCTGCACTTGTATTTATTTTGACTATAGAACTTTGCTAATCTCTTTAATCATCTTAGGGTTGTCCTAAGGCTTAACGTTGCTTGACTCATTGACTTGACACGACTCAAGGTATAAGCTTGACTCGATGTGATTGACCGAATCGAGGTTGACTCGACTCAAAGTGAAATGACACGTGTGACTCAAATCAAAGTGATATGGCACGTTATGACTCAATGTGTACATGACTCGTGTGTGCATTGTAATGTGATCGTGCGACTCGAAAATGCAAAAAAGAAAAAAATTTCCGTCAATTGTATTGAGGGTACCGACTTTCTCCCGAAAAAGAAAGACGTGAAAAAGAAAATCAAAAGTTTGAAGATGCATGTTGAATGAGCTTAGCCAAATGTTGTTTGATACTATCTCTCAAGGTGCAAGGATTAATCCATCCTAGGCTATCTAAATGGTTGACTCCATGATGAAAGTATTTGGGTAACTTAGGCACGGAGGCTAAGCACTTCATACTTCGTGATGCAATGACAATTATGAGTGATTTTGACGAAGCATGCTTCAGCGTTAAGATTTCATGACAAAGGGTTCCTAAGGGAAGTATATTTGGTCATGTATCTGTGAAGTGTGTGATAGTGACACTAAAGTTAGGCCGCAAGAGCTAAGAGTGTGGAAAAATATATTATTGAAAAGAGTCAAATGGTGGTGACTCTTAGGCTAGGTAAGCTAATGATGTAGGGACCAAACCCCCAACTCTAGCTCTAAGTGAAAAGGGATGAGCATTGGATATTCCTTGATATGATCATGGTGCAAGTGTGTGAATGTGAATATGAATGCATGTTTATTACGGCCGCACCTCAATGTGAGGTTGCCTACGTATCCGTTAGGAATCAGGTCGAACATAGCTCTAGCCAAACCTCGCACAAGTGTGTATACCTCAAAAAGGTCTTTTTACGGGTTGTAACGTGGTTAGGCTAAAGGTTTAAAGAAGAAGGGGATAAAGGCTCAAGACCCTAGATAAGCCCCCAAGGTGTGCAACCTTGCTTTTGAATATTTGTATTTTCATGCTTGAGGTTTTCTACTCTTCTTTTTTTTTAGCTCTCTTTTTGCTTTAGCATTTATTTTATTTTAATAAGTGTGGGCAATCCCGATCATGCGGTCTATCACTCACTTGGCATTCATGTTTCTCAGGCACGGTACCGAGCACTCGATAAAAGACGCAATCTGAGACGTGTTCTTATCGAAGATATTTTCACATCAAAGACATTGGAACACTTACCCTTTTGTACACTTGTTTTCGTTTTTAT